CGCACAAAGCACACACAATTTCTCAACTCACATATGATTCTTCAATATCTCTGTTATTCTAACTACACACAAAGACTGACCACAAATCCATCGGTTTCTCAGTAGGTGACATGGCGGCCCGAGCAGTGGCCGAACTCACGGTGGATCAGCAACGATAACCAAACGCTTCAAGAAGCCCAAATTTCGCTACCTAAGGTTTTGCAACAACACGTGGAAGGCTCCGATCAACGACAGCCTGAGCGGCTCCAAGGTTAATTACTTTGATTTTGCACTTGGGCATAACGCCGGGACCAACAAGGGATCGCCTCCTAGCCTCAGAGAAAGCAGATAGGAAAGGCTGCAAAATGGCCTCAATGACAATGTTTCACAGAGCTAGGCCCTTGAGGATCGACGTCTTCTTCACAAGGTAGTCTCTGTGCTCCGCTTGCTTTTGCTCATTCTCCATGTTTCAAAACTCCCAATTTATTCGATTGCACAGAAAGATAACAATGACGAAGAGTGAAAACACATGAAAATAATGCGTATTAAATCAGTTATGTGCAGGTAGTTTTATATTGATAATATGTGCGCTTAAGCTGCTGTGGGATAACATTGTTATCAGACTCGAGCATATAGTGATGCAATCTCCTAATTTTTAATGTTCGTTTCTTTTGTTAAGTTTTTCTATATATTGTTTTGAAGTCTAAAAATTGGGCAATGCAGATTAAATTACCAATACCAGCATCTCACCATCTATGCATTTATATAGTGTTAGACTTTTTGGTAAAAGCTTCAGAGGATGTTTTTTTGTACAAACAGGTTATTTGGTTTGTTTTGTCAAGTTCAATACTCCATTTTTGAACAGAAATAAAAGTTTAGTTACTACATATTTTCCATTATTTTCATTTTGAAAAAATGAAATTCTCACATTTAAGAAGGGTCGAGGACATCAAGGTAGATGGAGTTTTTATCTCAAACGTGGTCAGCTTGAGAAGACGAAGACGAAGACGAAGACGAAATGCAGCGAGAGTAGATGGCGGAGCTATCGTTACCAAAAAACTTATTGCTTGGATCCTATTATTAAATAATGGATTGTTGAATTTGTACAGGTCAAATCTGAAGAATTGTTTGAGTATAGAAGGGAAACTATTGAAGGATGAAAGCAAAGAAGATGAAAAATTGTTAATGGTGATGGTCAGGAAAATGAGGGGAAATAAGGAAGAACATGAAGAAAATGAGGAGGAAGGAGGAGACAAGTGGGAGCACGTAGATCACTGGAGTAACATAATACTAAAGCATATGTGATATAGTTTAAATACTTCTTATTATACTTATAAAATAGGGTGAAAAGATATTGATAGTAAAATTTAATGCTTGTTGTTGGGTGCAACATTTAATGATTTAATATTTTTAGGTGTTCCATTTCTGTAATGTGTAATTATTTAGACCATGATAGGTTAACATGGTGCATGTGCTGATGCTTTGTGGATTTTGTCTTCATATTGATTCATATTGATTTTGATTGTATTTTGTGTCATGCTTCGTATTGTAATAAAAGACTGGCTGTGATTGTCAGATTGTGCCTGCCTCTGATTTACTTTGGTATTACCCAGCCCTTGAAAATGCATTCAGTTGATCATTACTTTGGTATTGTCTGGTCCAACCCTTGAAATCTATATAGTTGATGCCTGTAAACAGTAGTGTGATTATTAGAATATTAAACTGAATCCGTGTAGTTTATTCATAATTTATGTGAGATTGTTTGTCTACCTTCATAGTTGAATAACTTGGATAACATGATTAATAATGGAAATACTTGGATGAACTTAGAATGTAATTATTATCTTAATAGTAGTAGTTTTGGTAGCATCTTGATTTAAATTTAGGATGTTGTAGTGTCCTCATTTTATTTTTCAACTCAATATTGTAGGGTCCTTNTTTTTTTTTTTTTTTTTTTTCGAAACGATAGAAGTATTATATAAATAGGCACAAATGTGCAGAAGTACAGCCACAGCTGAATACAGACAGTCAACAGCCGAATAAAATGGGAGGACAGGTCAAAAGACTGCCTAGAATCGACTCCAACGGAGTAATACTAATACTCTAGAAACACAAAACACAACCGACCCTAAATGCTCCCAAAGGGAGAATGAAAAGAACAAAAGAAAAGAAACGACCCCAACAGGGTAATGCCCGAGTGTGGGATCCCAACAGGATAATAAGGTCACACTCGGGCTCACAGAGGCCAACGGCTCAAACTAAAAGCACAAGACGGAACAAACAAACCAAACAAACTAAAAGCAAAACACTACAAAAAATACAAAACAGAAACAACCCTCCCTCAGCAGAGACATCCGAGTTTGACAGCAGACAAAGCCGACTCTGAGGAGAGATCCGAAGCGCAGGAACCTTGCCCGCCACTGCCTAAAGCCTAGCAAGACGAAGACCCGAGCCTAAAAAACAATCCGAAAAACCGACCCGCACTCCAGCCGTAGGAAGTCACAACCGCCCCTCAACCGGCTAACACCACTAGCCTAGTCCGACACCTCCCCGAAATCGGCTAACACCACTAGCCGATTCCAGAGACTGCCGGCCTCCCTCGACCATAGACCTCTTTTAAGATTTGATTCTTATTCATTATATTTTTACTTGTGTAGTGAGTTTGTTCTTCTCTATTATGGAATACATTGCTGTTATTGATTTAAATTGTGCAAGATTTTCAAACCTATTCAGACTGTTATTTCAAGATTCATATTTTAAAATATTTTCAAATTTTGTTAATTCGTCTTAAATTAATATAATAGAAAAACAAATTATAATTTTGTTAATTCGTCTCAAATGAGAACCAAGTCCTAGCGTGAGAACCGTGAGAACCGCTATTTTTAATTGTATCTAGTGCTATGATTGATTGTATTTTAGTGCTATTTTTTAATTAGGATATATTTTATTAAAAATAACAACACAATTTATGTTATCATTCGTAAAAATGATAGCACCATGTAAGATTAAAAATAGCATCATGCACAACTGAAGTAGCATCAAATATGGTTCTCACGGTTCTCACAGCAGGATTAGTTTTAATTTGAACCAACCTCTACTATATTATATACTATATACTATGCAATACATACCATATACTATATTCTATATACTATATACTATAAACTATATACTATAAATATCGATATTCAAGGATGAGAATATAATTTGCGTAGAAGTTAACGTGATCGCCTAGCGGCAGGATGGTATTGAAGTCAGCCTTGAGGGTTTGAAACGCCCACACCTGGGTTCGATTCCTCTCAAGTGCGAACCTTCAACCATTTATGTTTAATATGTTAAACGTATTCTGAGAGTACGTTTTACACTTTAATTATTTATAAAACGTCTATACGTTTTATAAATAATTAAAGTGTAAACGTATTCTCAGAATACATTTTACGTAAAATATATAAAAAAAAACCTGCTTCTTCTTTCACGCGACAGAACACACACACACACACAGATAGAGCGAGAGCGAGCAGTGAAGCGGAGAGAGCGAGAAGAAGCTTCGTGGTCGGAAAATTTTGCCGAACATTCGCCTAACCATCGCCGCCGGACCTCCTTCCCGTCTATTAGGTACGTTTCTTCTATTAGGCTTTGATTTTTTCAAATTTTCAATCATTTTCGAATTAGGGTTTTTTTTTTTTAAAAAAGAAATTGAATATGTTGTTTGAATTATATATAATGTGTTGTGATTGAGATATGTTGATGGATTGTTTGATTATCTTGTTTAATATATTGAGGGGTTATTTGGAAATTGATTAGGGTTTTGTAGTTTGTTTGAAAATATATGATTTGAAGGTGTTCAATAAAATGCCTCAAAGGGATTGTTGTACATATTGTTGACATATTGTGAATTTGTGATGATTGTGATGAGGTGAATTTGTTTGTGAATTTATAAAATATGTTTGAATGTGGGATTTTGTGAGAAGTTGAATTGTTCATTGGAATTTTGTCGGAAGTTGAATTGTTGGAGTCGAATTGTAAATGACATCTTCGTCGTCCTCACAACCGCAGCGCTACAATGTACATCTCGGTCAGAGGGATGCGCCCGTTCTATATCTTCAGTACCGCCACCGGGCGAGTGCGCTATTCGAAGATATAGACGGATGTCGTGACGGCGTCATTATACCCCGCCGTTTCGACACTGAGATTTGGAAGGCGTTGGAGCACCAGCATCCCAGAGTTTTGGAGGTCATCGACAGGACGGGTTTTGGCCCGCTGTTTCAAATGGACAGAGTTATGAACGACAACAGCCTCATCACGTGTCTGGTGGAAAGGTAGCGACCGAAGACTCATACCTTCCACTTTGACTTCGGGGAGACCACGATCACGCTGCAGGACGTACAAGTCATTTTTGGTCTCCCGATCAATGGAGAGCCTTGTTGGGGAGCAACTCAAGATCGCACACCCCAAAACTGGCCAGAAATTTGTTATGATGCGCTAGGGTTCGAACCCTATGTCCAGGTAAATTTTTTCCTACAATTTTTTATTTTATTTTATTTTATTTATGTTTACTCCATTCTTTAATTTTTAATATATATAAACCACTCTCAGAAGCCCGACGAACCGAATCTAGACCCCAAGACTTGGGCCATTACAGGCCAGTGGTTGAGGACCTATGCGTTAGAAGCAGAGTGCAACATAGAGCTAACCGATGGAGACAACACCAGTGACTTCGAACAAAAGGCGAGGGCCTTTATACTCTGGTGCATCAGTTCCTTCTTCTTCCCCGATTAGAGGGCCAATGGAGTGAACCTGTATTGGTTGCAGCATTTGTACGACGTCGATAAGATCAAGACGTACAACTGGGGTTCGCGGTCCTGGCCGGAGTGTATAAAGCGCTCTGCACGAGCTACAAGGTCGGGGAAAAGTGGATCAAAACTGTGTCCAATTGATTCAGGTAAATTTATATACTTGTTATTTGAAAATTCACTTTTTTATTCTAATTTAGACTAATATCTAATAACAAATGAATATGTCAATATGTGTAGGTCTGGGCGTATGAACGTATCCCTCGTATTCGCCCAAAAATGAGGGATACGAACTTTCAGAGAGTCGCTGGTTGTCCCTTAGGTGGAAGGTAATCAGATTTATTTATATTTAATACTTAGATTATTTCCATTATCAAATTTTGTGATTACAAAGTGTTTTTATTTTTTTCTGTGATTTTTAAGGTGGGTAGGAAGGAGGGAGGGACACGAGACCCCTGGGCAATGGAACAGCCGCCACCCGGGATCAATTGACAGAGCAGACAGAGACGGATGTAAGATTATTATTAAGTCCTATTCATTATTATTTTTATTTGTTGTTTGTTTTTATTTTTTTTTTATAACTTAATTCCTAATTATTATTATTATTTTTATTACAGTTCGATTGGTTGCCCTATCAGCTGTACCTGCAAGGGGATGCTCCCCCGGCCCAGTTTACAGAAGGTTCACACCCTGGATGTATAGAGGGTGAATCTTCAATTGGAACGTCGGTGAACTCCACCTGCCTGATAGGATCCTCCGTCAGTTCGGGTGTCGACAGTCCATCCCCGAACCTCCGATCATTACGACTGAGGCCCAATGTGAGACACACCACCAAGGCCAGGGAATGACTGAGGGGGCAGTTTTTGATTGGGTCGACTCTCACGGAGAGCTTGGGAATGCTTGGTCGAACATAGAGACCAAAATGTCATCCCAGTCATCCCTGTGGAGCCATTCATTGAGCCTGAGGCGGGTTACCTTGATTAGTTTCACAATACGACTGTGAGACTACTCGGTGACCCTGTCAAGTACGAGGTGGCCCAACCGGACATAGACTTTCACCCACATGCCGAGCAGGGGAAGTGCGATGTAAGTGTTCATAATTTGCGTTTTTTTTTATATTATTATTATTATTATTATTATTATTATGTTTGTGTTTCATACTAATTACTTTGAATTTAATTTTCAGGCTGGCGCCATGGAGGGGGCTTATCACTCGTTATCGAATGTTGAGCACCTATATCATATGTGCCCTCCGGAGATGCAGGCCGCACTTCAATAGGCCAAGAGCCTTCTCTACAGTTCTCTGACTGTCGGAGGCGGAGAGGTCGCACAAGGGTCGTCGTCGAGCCAAGTTCTATCGCAGGAGAGCTACGTCCGATCCCAGAGGACGCAGTCACACCGGGCGACATCAACCTGCTGCCAACATTGGTGGAGGTAGAAGACGACGTGACCACCAACCCGCTGCCCACACCGGGCCTCAGGAAGAAGAAGAAGAAGGTGAAAATTTTTTACTTAACAAAAAAATAATTTTATTTATTTTTTGTGATTTTTGTCAAGTCGAATTTCTGATTTCTTAAAAAAATGAATTACTCAGGTGAAGAAGAAGAAGAAGAACCTGCCACGCCCACAACATCGTCTTCTTCACGACGACCACCACATCGGATCAGCCACCGACTGCGCCATCCTACGAATCGATACACTCCTAGTTAGTTTGTGTTGTATTCGGGGAATTTTGTGGACATATTTGTTTTATTTATTTATTTATTTTTTGGTGGATTATATGTAATGATATTTGGACATCTTTGTATTTTGAATAAATTATTGTGGTTGATTTTTCTTTCTTTGACGAATGGATTTGGTTGTGGAATTGATCTCGATTAACATGTGTGTTCTTTTTATTTTTTCTGCAAAGTTACTGTTTCTGCACAGTAAAACGTATTTCCGGAATACGTTTTTTTTTTT